AATACAAATATTTTGTAACTGAAAACTCTAATTAATTTTGTAACGGTTGTCTAGACTTTTCTTTGTTTACACTCTTCTATAATCTCAACTCGTCTGACAGGTGCATCACTCGGTCTTCTACGCACATGACCAAACCACCGTAGGCGCGACTCCCGCATCTTGTCTTCAATAGGTGCTACTCCCACCCTTTGTCTGATTGTCTCATTCCTCACGCGGTCCTTCCTAGTATGCCCACACATCCAACGCAGCATGCGCATCTCTGCCGCACTCATCTTTTGAATGTGACATTGTTTCACCGCCCAACACTACGCCATACAGTAATGCAGGCCTAATTGCTGTCCTATAAAATTTACCCTTCAGTCTAGATGGCATACCTCGATCGCATAGAAATCCTGGCGCATTCTTCCACTTCATCCACCCTATTCTGATTTTATGGGATACATCTCCATCCAACTCACCGTCCTTCTGAATTATCGCTGACTGGTATCTCCTTACCATCCAGAGTAATTCCACTATTACCACTGCTTCTACCTCCACCAAACTTGCACTCCATGTACTCTGTCTTGCTCCGACTTAGTTTGAAACCCCTTTTCTCCAATGTTTGTCTCCATACTTCCAACTTTGATTTAAGACCTGTTGCGTCTCATCAATCGATACAATATTGTCGGCAAACATCATGCACCACAGTATATCATCTTGAATTGACTTCGTAAGTTCATCCATGACTATGGCAAATAAGAAAGGGCTCAGAGCCGATCCTTGGTGCACTCCGATAGTAATAGGGAACTCTTCAGTCCTCCCCACATTAGTACGGACACTTGTAGTACAATCCTCATACATATCCATGATGATGCTGATATACTTGCGTGATATGCCTTTCTTAGTTTAGGCCCACCAAAGAACTTCCCGAGGTACCCTATCATATGCCTTTTCTAAGTCAATGAACACCAAATGCAGATCCTTATGAGTGTCTCTATACTTCTCCATAAGTTGCCGAAGAAGGTGAATGGCCTCAGTTGTTGAACGACCAGACATAAAACCGAATTGATTCTCTGAAATCTTCACAGTTCTTCGAAGTCTTTGCTCAATCACTCGCTCCCAAAGTTTCATGGTGTGACTCATAAGCTTAATCCCTCGATAGTTGGCACATTTTGTACATCACCTTTATTCTTAAATAAGGGATAAAAGTACTCTTCCTCCAACTCGTTGGCATCTTGTTGTTTCTCCAAATCATGTTAAAGAAACTTGTTAACCACTCGACGTCTCTCTCTCCCAAACTTCTCCAAGCCTCGATCGGTATGCCATCTGGACCCACTGCTTTCTTCCGTCCCATCTTCCTCAGAGCTTCTTTAACTTCCATTGTTTGGACCCTTCTCACAAAATCACGATTTAGCATACAATCTGGTATGGACAAATCACTGATATCTTGCGTTTTGTTCCCGTTGAATAGTGTATCAAAGTATGATCTCCACCTCTCTTTTATCTCTCCGTCGTCCATTAATATCCTCTGATCGACATCCTTCACACACTTAACTTTTGCAATATCTTGAGTCCTGCGATCACGAAGACGAGTAAGTCTATAAATATCTAGTTCTCCTTCTTTACAGTCCAACTTTTCATACAACTCCTTGTTCATTTTCCCTTGTGCTTCCCTTACGGCTTTCTTTGCTTGTCTTTTAGCCTCCTTGTATGCTTCTATGTTCTCATCACTCCAACTTGTCCCCAACTTTTTGTAGCAATCTCTTTTGTTCCTTATGGCTTGTTTCACCTCATCATTCCACCAAGACGTGTCCAATCCCACTTGTGGTGCATAGGCACTTACTAGAGACACAATCTCACCCCTTATCACCAATTTAATGCTCATGATGCGATCGTTCTTCCTGGAGACTTCTACTACATCCTCAACATACTCACGCGCCACAATAATGCCTACCCCATTTATGGTCTTATCTCTTCCCGAATATCACAACTTAAAACCTCCAGGATTAATCTTGCGTGCTTTCTCTCCAACCCATTTTGTTTCTTGCACACACATAATGCTGATATTCCTTCTCCTGATAACCTCGACTACCTCGGAAGATCTGCCTGTAAGAGACCCAACATTCCATGTCCCAAAACGCAATCTAGCACTCCACCTTCTGTTCTTAGCCCCATCTCGGACCCCACCATGCCCTTGCATATTTGACATCATCCCCGGGCAATGGGATGACGCGCCGTTTCCGGGCGGCGACCTAGCAACCTTAGCATTCTTATCACCACACCCAGGTCTATGAAGTGTAGCACGCCCTTGCATATTTGACACCACCCCCTGGCAGAGGGATGACGCGTCACTTACGGGTGACGATCTAGCATTAGCGATATTCATATTTCGATTCATGTGATGTGATGTGACTAGGTGATACTGTTGGCTGTCACACGCCTACCATAGCACCCTCCTCCTTTATCCTGGCTTGAGACAGGCATGATACCAAAAAAATGATATCATGGCGGAGTTATCTGAAGAAGAAGCATATTAGTTCTAATTCCTCTAATCCAAATTTGTTTGGGTCTTACACACCCACTCTCCTCCCTGCTTCTTCTTCCCACCTTTCAAGTCATTTAACAGGTGTTTCACTCGATCGAGACTCCTACATCTTATCTTCTAATAGGTGCTACTCCCACCTTTTGGTTTGATTATCTCATTCCTCAAACGGTATTTTCTGGTATGTGCAGTTGTGCACACATCTAACACAACATACACATCTTTGTCATCGTCATCTATTGAATGTGACATTGTTTCACCGCCCAACACAATCTACGCCATACATTAATGCAGGGCCTAATTGTTGTCCGATAAAATTTACCCTTCAGAGTAGTCGACACACCCCGATCACATAAAAATCTTGATTCACTCTTCCATGACATCTCCATGTAATTCACCATTCTTCTGAATTATGGAGACCAAGTAACAGAACATATGACACACCGGTATCTCCTTACCATCAGGGGTAATTCCACTGTTACTACGACTTCTACCTCCATCAAACTTGCACTCTATATACTTAGTCTTGCTTCGGCTTAGTCTGAAACCCTTGGTCTCCAATGTTTGTCGCCATACTTTCAACTTTGCTTTAACAATCGGTTGTTTCTCATCAAGCAACACAATATCATCAGCAAACATCATGCACCTACTTGGTCTCCAATGTATATCTTCTTGAATTGACTTTGTAAGTTCATCCATACCTATAACAAATATAGACACTTGTAATACAAGCCTCATACATATCCATGGTGATACTGATATACCTACGTGATATGTCTTTTCTAGCTAATGCCACCAAAGGAACTCTCTAGCTGCCCTATCATATGTCTTTTCTAAGTCAATAACACCAAATGCAGTTCCTTTTTAGCACGAGAATTAGTGCACAGGATTTACATTTTGTTTTGAGCTGCTCCTGGTAATGATGATTATGATAGAACTATGACATGATGTTGAGAAATGTCTTCTCTACGGTGGTTATTTGCTTTCCTATTTGGAGTCGATTAGGATTTCTATGATTTTGTTTACTATTTGGAATTAATTAGGATTCCTATTCTGGAATTAGTAGAAGGGTATTTAAACCCCTTATTAGGGTTCACTCTTGTTTTCGCCAATTAATAAAATTGGATTGTTAATTTTCTACTCTCATCAATTGGTCTGACTGTCGGATCCCGTTTTTCTGGAATGACAAGATCAATCAGACAGAGGTGGAGGCAGAACAGGCCGTGATGAACTAGAAGTTGGATGCTCAGAGAGCAAAGCTGGACGCGCAAGGAATCCAACTAGCGGAGATCGCAGCCTCCTTCCCAAATTGTTTACTGAATAATAATATTGATGACCCTTATATAGATATTACAAATATCCTAATTTTAAAAGGAAATAAATGATAAATTAGAATCTGCCAAAAGCTGAATACAAATAGTTATAAAAGGAGATAATATAATTAATAAGTTGATTAAAGCAGACATATGAATAATAATACTAATAACAACAATATAATAATAATAAGATTAACAATAATAATAATAATAATAACAACAACAACATTAATACTCCCTCAGTATTTAAAAGTTTACTACACAGATGTATTTAAAAGCTTGCTACACTTTCCCTTTTTAATAAGGTTTTCCTTTAAAAGTACCCAATTACCCCTACTTTTCCTATTTTTTATCTTCTCTTTCCTACTTTTTCACCTTCTCTCTTACTTTTTCTACACTACTTTTTACCTCTACTATTTTCCCTTTAAATATTGTTGCAAGACCTAATGTAGTGATATTTTAAATACAGAGGGAGTATCAGGTTTCTTTGCTCATAACACTTTGATTAAGAAGAGGTTTGACTTTGCACCTCATTTTAAAGAAATTAATTAATGTGTGCAACCTCTATTCAAAAAAAATGTCAAGGAATGGGATGAAATTGTTAATAATTTTAAATGGATAGGGTGCACACATTATTATTTTTTTAAATGGGGGTTTAATGTCCAATTTTGCCCAAAAAGGGAAGCAAAGTCAAATTTCCCCATGTGTAATATGGAGTATCTTAAAATCTATACATGTATTTACATTTCTGTGTTTATGCAATAGTAAAAATAATCAAATGAATGAGTGTGAACAATATAAGTTTATTGAGTTTGAATCTACTTCCTCCGTCCACATAAGGTTTGCTAACTTTCCTAATTTGGTTTCCCAAATCCGAATAAGTTACACCAATTTCTCTCGAAGGAAACAAATTTGTGGTTCATATTGTATCTCTCTTCATTACCACTCAATTTTCACTTCTGTATTCCTTGTGCCAGTCAAACATGGCAAAAGAAATGGGGACGAAATATAGAACACATCTATTATTCTTGATAGCGCCCTAATTATTACTAACCCCCATCCTCCCAATTTACTTCTGTTTTATTTTGCTAGTATTTTCCTAGTTCCAAACAGATCCCAGTTGTAATTTCAGTTGGTTACTCTTTGCCTCTCACTCTATCCAGATGCATGGAGGATTTAGTTAGCACCACTCGTTATGTGACATGGTCACTCCACAATAAGGTTAGGAAGTTGTTTAGTTTTGCAAATGTCACATGACTTCATGACTCTTCTAATCATGTGTGATCACATTCCATCACACTTTCAGAACCGAGCTGGATTACGCCAGTTCCTAGATTCATTTGGTGGGTCAGAGCATTCTTCCATGAATGGCAGTTCTGCTTCAGCTGGTCAAGAGTTGTCAACCGAATATGTAAACAGTGAAACCAAGCCCAGGACGGATGTAAAGGTTACATCAAAGAATAATGAGTTAAGTATGAGCTGCCAGACATCAGAAACCAGACTAGCTGACCTCTTAGATAGCACTCTATGGAACAGAAGGCTTGCTCCTTCTTCCGAAAGGATTGTTTATGCATTGGTTCAACAAATATTTCATGGCATAAGAGAATATTTCTTGGCTTCAACAGAATTAAAGGTATGTGTCTTTCTTCTCTATACTTTGAAGATGGGCAGACAATTTAAAAAAACAAAAAGAACTTTTTGGTTATCTAGAGCATGTTTTGTAACACTTGTTTATTTTGGCTTATTAGTGTTGTCATCCAAATGCTGTATTCAAACACCATCTTACTACGTATTTAATTGAAATGGCTAAATAGGTCGCTTATAAAAGAGTACTGTAGGAATCAGAGAGTGCCTTTGTTTTTCAAAGGTTCTTTTGGTTCCTTTTTTCCCTGTACAATGTTTTCTGGACTTTCCTGTATTAAATGCTGAAACACTTTTCGTGGGGGGGAAATCATATTTCTTTGAAATTTTATGGAAATAACTTCCTTTTTCCAAAAATAGTTTCCACGTAAAACATTTTCAAGAACTGATTTTCTAGCAATCTAATGGAGCCTACGTTATGTATAATGAAGATAAATAATACTTCTAGCCTCATCTTTTCCCGTCCCCTTTAAAAAATCTTCTAGCCTCATCTTCTTGATATTGTATCCATTTTTTTAAAAGTCAAATTAAAACATTTTTAAGATAGTACACCAAACAAACTGTTTTACAGCTACATTTTAAAGATAATACACCAAACCAAACACTTTAGTCAAAATCAACTCCAACCAAACGGGGTCTTCAATTGCCTTGTTTGGCACTATTTTTAGTCCTGAACAGTTGTCAGTTGCTACTTTCTGCAGTTCAACTGTTTTCTCCTCATGCCAGTTGTGGACAAGTTGCCTGCCCTACTTCGCAAAGACTTGGAGTCTGCATTCGAAGATGATTTGGACAATGTTTTCAACATCACCAACCTGCAGCATTCATTTGGACAGCAGAAACGCGAAACTGAGATTGAGTTGAAAAGAATACAAAAACTTAAAGAGAAGTTCAGGTGCATTCATGAACAACTTAATTCACACAAGATTTAAGTTTTGGCAAGTAGTGATCTTAGTTGGTCCTGAAAGAGAGAAGTTAGGTTTGCTATTCTGTAATTTTCAAGCGTAAGTTTGATTGCTTTCTCGCCAACTCCATTTATGAGGAAAATATTTTTATGCGAGAAGTCCTTTTTTTTTACTTTTAATGAGAAACAAATCAAAGTAATAAAACTTAAAACCCCTGAAAGAAAATAAAAACGGAAAAAACATCTGATCAGAAGAAATCTTGAGATCATGCAACTAATAAAACGTTCTGAACCAAGAGTGGTGCTTATTAATCAACAACCAGAAGAAGAGATGGCTGCAGGAAACCTATTAAGCAGAAACAACCGAGAAGTCTTGTTTTCAGAGTTTAATTGTTCTCATTTTAAGAGGGAGAGGAGACTTAAGTCAAGGAGAGACTGAATTTGCACTATGAAGGAGATGAAACTCATGAAAGGAAAAGATCAAAGGAGTTGACTGAGCTCAAATTTGGTCTGCTCGAGCTGGATGAGAATAGGGATGGACTCGGGCTGGGTCAACCGGCCCGTAACCGGCCCGGTACTGTTTCGGCCTGGCTTGGTACTGTTTCGGCCTGGCCTGGTACCCAGGTCCGTGCCCGGTTCCGGCCACTTGGACCATATTTTTTCGGGGCTGGCTCCGGGTATCAAAAAAATGAACCGGCCCGGCCCGATCAGGTTTGGGCCAATTTTTTTTTGTTTTTCAAATTTTTCGGGAGGTAAATGGGTTGGGCTGGGTGTTTTGGAGGGGTTTGGGGTGTGGGGGGTAGGAAGTAATTAGGAAAAGAAAACATAATGTACTCGGGCTTATCCGGCCAGGGCCCGACCCGGACCCGGTAGCTACACGGGCCGGTTCGGAGCCTCAAGAATCCAAAAAAAGCCCGTTAGGCCTGACCCGGACCGGCCCAAGTCCATGCCTAGATGAGAATGCATTGACTTGAACTCGAATGTGCCTAATAAATAGATTAATCTCAGCACGAGTTTTGCTCATCAACTTTTATATGTTTAGGCTCGAATAAGATACTCGAGCTCGAAGCTGAACTAATTTGTATTTTCTATTTTTCAAAATTTTTCATATTATATTTAATTATTTATACATACAAATAGTTAAATAAATAAATATAATATTTATACTTTATTGTTCTCGTTTTATTAGTTTCTCTTTCTCTCTCCATTCACTAGCATTTTAACTTCTTATTTAATTTATTTAATTTTTAATTTATTTACTTATTTATTTATTGGGGAAAATAATTTAAAAATCACAAACTTTGAAGGGGTGCGACATAAGTACCTCACACTTGCACATGTAATATATATACCCCTGATTTTATATAGAATGTCTTGTTAACACAATGATCATACATTATTTCATAAATGTAATTTTATGATGTTAAGTACATAATAATTTAAATACACGAAACATTTGTAGTCGTTTCATTGGTCTGTACTATGTAGTTGTTTCCTACATGAAGTGGCTGAGCGGTGTTATGTTTAGTTCTTGAGTTCGTCAGAGGGTTTTTAGGCAATCGTGGAAACACTTGAACGTCTCAAGAGATTATGTACTCAACCTCGTTATATAAGCCGTTAATAAAAGATTTAAGTGAGATATATTGAGGTGGATAAATGAATCTTATGTGGCATAACTTTTTTATTAAATGACATACATCAGCTTTAATCGATAAATTAAAATTTAGGAAAGCCATTTGTGCTATATCACTGAGTTGGAGAATTTGATTGCAATTTTTTTGGTGATTAAATCAGTCAACCGGCCCGGAACCGGACCGGCCCGCTACTGTGCGGGCTCGGACCGGCCCGGTGAACCGGTTGGTGCCCGGTTCGGGCCACCCGGCCCGTTGAGGTAGGCGGTTTGGGCCTGCTAAATAGTGAACCGGCCCGGCTGGTTCGAGCCCTGTCCGGGCCAATTTATTTATTTTTCTTTTTTTTTTTTGATTTTTTTTAAGTTTTTGGGTTGGGCTGGGTATGATGGGCCATTTGAGGTGGTTTGGGGGTGAGGGGGAAGGGTTGGGGGTTAATTAGGAAAAGCCAATTTTTTTTTACATGAACCGAGGCCTGGCCCGGCCCGGATCCGGGGGTTACCCGGGCCGGTTTCGGGCCTCCCCTTTCATGAACTGAGGCCCGGCTGGGTCCAGGCCCGAACCGGACCCGAACCGGAACCGATCCACCCCTAGGTGATTTGCACTTTATCGCTGACTTGGAGGGTTTGGTTGAAGGGTTTTTTAATATAAGGGGTGATTTGCACTATTTGTGTTAGTTTGGGGGCTGATTTGGTACTTTTCCCAAAAAAATGGATGCATTGAATGCATAACTTTTTTGTTAATGTAATTAGTTTTCCTGTGCTTTAAAAAATAATTCATTATTCTACTTGTTACCATGCCCAAATCATTATTATGAATTTACGAAGGATTCAGATAGATCTAACGTAGCGGATGATCATAATGTTTTCTCGGTAGTAACCTCAAATATACAAAGCCAACTCCGGTATTCCGGTAAGATCATAATGTTCAACAATTTGTTCTACTTTCGTTCATTGCATTGAATAATAGAAATCGGCACAACACCTCAATATAAATGAACATTAATGCAAGAAGCATTGTGTAAAAACCAGTTCTACTATCCTGTAAAATTTGAGTTTTATTTTCTTTATGATGTATAATTGTCTGCAAACAACTTACCGTCAAACATTTTCTGAATTATTTGAGAAACATTGCATCCTTACATGTTGTTCTTCAACTGATTTCTTTGATCTACAAAGTTATTTGTCAATCTGTCGTATATCACACAAGATGTCGTCCAAGAAGAGAAAGATATCTGGAACCCGCCCACCCGTCCAGAAATGCAGGCCGATCACTAGGCAACACGTAAAAGACCCAGAACCTGAAAAAACATAAAAACCCATTACCTGTGTTAGACCGAGAGATATGGAAATAATCGGTAAACCCAAATCTAAAGATGAAACTAAAATTCCTGAAATGGGAATCCATCCCAAATCTAGCACCTGTCACACCGTACTCCCTTACAAGCGAACAACTGCACCATTATTATACAATATAGCAATACTCAAATATCAATATGAAATATGAATGGGGAAGTAATTAATATTTAAGAGATGAGGATTAAAAAAATAACTCACAACTTGCAAATCACAACCTTCAATATAGCAAAATCAAACTCAAAAGACTACCTAAATTACAAGAATATAGCCTATATGAAAGAGGTGATTGATGTGTTATCAAGTGGGAAGGAAATATGTGTTTTATAGGGGTTTGGACTTTGCAGGGTCAGATACACGACCGGATATATAGGGTACCTGATCTAGTATCTCAGGCCATGTAGCCCAGAAAGTGGCATTTAGAGTCATACCCAATCACGTATAAGTCAAATCTTCAAAAAAATCACTGCACATTGTTTTGTTCAGATTCTGATTTTGACACCGAATAAAGTAAATACCTGATTGGGTATGTCAATATACCCGATCAGGTATATGACAAAATCGATTTTTTTCACATTTCTTTGCCCTTCCATGAAACTTTATTTTGTCTCCAAACTCTTTCCTTATGCTCTCAAATGATTTCATTTTGTTTTTCCATCATGTTTCTTGATTATAGGTCAAATATCTTAGTATCTTCTAATTCTAATCTAATTTTAGAAGATAAAGATTACACTTTAATTGTACAAAAGCTAAGTAAACACAATGTAAAATCATTCTAAAATGTGGTGCTGATCATCTACTAAACAGTACATATCACATATATTTTAAATATTTATTCTAGATAGAAAATCATTTCAAAATTATTTTAGAAAATTGAAAAAGTAATATAAAATAACGCTATCTATCTATCTAAATAGGATTGACACTTATTTTAAAATATTATGTTTGTTTTTCAGTGTTTACTAAGTATTAGCATTATTATATTATTGTGAATACTAATTAGCTTTTATTTTAATTTTATATTAACTAGTATTCCACCCTAGTGTTGCACTTGAATGCATCAATCAATATTAATTTAATGATAATAAGTTGAAGAAATGACAATAAAAAATACTATTTGGTGATTTATATGATCATAATAAAATATCTACCAACGAAAATTAGAATCTATATGTCTTGAACCTTAAAGGGTGTACATTTTTTTCAACTCATTGCATATACAAGAATAGACCTGACCTTTAAATTCTGGAATCAATTAGGTCTTTCCCTGAATAATCAAATCACTCGATCTGCAATCCTCAATTGTAACAAAGATTACGTCAAAATGTAGTACAGGTGAGATGTTGATTCTTCATTATATTGGGATGAAGAGTATTTTATATTTTTTAATGGTACGAAGAGTATTTTATATGAATAAAGAGCAGTATTTAATAATTTTTTATGGCAACATAATGTTTATATAAAATATTACAGTTATTATTGGAAGATTGACAGATATAATGGATATCTCATAAATACATATTCGTTTATTACTTCTCCTTCCGTCCCAATTTGTTTTGCAAAATTTCCGATTTTGATTGTTCCGAAATGATTTTTCACTTTATATTTTCAATATAAAACATAAACAAAGTGATGAGTTCACCTTTTCGTTTATACTCCCTCCGTCCCATAAAACATGGTCATTTTTTTTTAGTTGTCCCAAAAAAATTTGTCCAAATTATTTCTCTCTCCTCTGCATAAATTTCAAGCATAAATTTTTTACTTTATTAATTCATATGCAAGTCAACTTTGATCAAGTTTTGTGGGACCAAGGGAGTACCGCGTACTATTTTTTACCCACCGGATTAATTCCCATCACC